TCCTGTAGGTATAGTAAAACTAGGGTTTTTGTAGGTACAGTAGAACTAGGGGGGCGGAGGCCAGAACAGGACACCAACTTGGCTGTTGTTTCCTTTGTGAGCAAGTTGTGGGGAGGTGGTAGACACTGGCAATGGTTCCAAATTGCTATAAAAAATAACTGGCTGAGGACATAGTAGGCTGGTCAGCAAGAGAATCAGCAGTGGTTTCCACAGTATTTATCACGCCATCAGCAAAAGAAAAGGATCTGCATTAGTTCAAGCTCTTAAACAACTTTTTCCAAGGAAGGAGGGACATTACCAGCTATCTGTTTATTAGCTCCAAAGAGTCCAAAGCCACTGTTCTTTGTCCCATCTCCCACAGCACAGAGGTAGCCAGCATGTGGTGTGCTAGTTAATGCTGAGAGGTATCTGTGGAGGGCGGGGGGAGGAGGTGGGAAGGAATCCCTGCTTGAAGGGTGGGGGGAGCAGGAGGAAGCCAGGCAGATGCCTTGTACGTGCAGTCTCTGCTGGAGCTGCAGCCAGGGAGCAGATGGGAGGGGCCAGGCCTGCTGGGCTGGAGGAGAGAGCAGAGTCCTGCCCAGCAAAGCATCTGGGCTGTTGGGGGACTCTGATTTAACTTAAACCAGGAAGGGGGTCTGGGACAGACCTTGCATAAACCTGTTTGATGCAAATCAGTTAAGTCTGATAAACCTGGTTGAATGTAGTATCTCAAACAGGTTTCAGCCATTATCAAACCAGTTTATGTGCACTGAATATGTGTTCTGTTGCAGATTTAAACCAGTTTCTGATCATTCCAACGGTTTTATGTGTAATGCCTGTCCCTAGCCCATGTGTTCCTTCTCTTGTGCCCATTTTAGGCAGTCAGTGCTTGTGGTCTTAGGGCTTTTATTTAAATTTGCCTGAGATAACTCAGGGAAAGGATAAATATAACAACTGAACTGTTTCATTGGGAAGCAGTTCACAATTATTGTTGTAAAATTGTCACAATTAAGATTAACTGACTTTTTCTGTTCCTCCCTTCAAGCAAAAAAAGGATTTAATACCTCTTAGATCATTTAACCTGGTTGTTGCATTCTCTAGAGAGAGCCTAGGAAACAATGCAGCTAACTCAGGTGAAGTAGAAGGTGTTAAATGGTATTTATGCTGGTTTTCAGGTGAGGACACCTTTTCAATCAAGTTTCATTCTTGCACTTGCAGACCAGTGGTTTTCAGCCTTTTAAAGACTCCAGGCACCCCTCCATATCTTTCCTGAAGTTAATGGCACCTATTTTTTTTACTTTTTTTTAAAAAGTGTATAGTTTCATAGATTTAGGGTTGGAAGGGACCTAGTAGATCTTCTAGCCCGACCCCCCGCCAGGGCGGGAGAACAACAAAACCCCAAAACAAGAAACGGGACTCAAATGAGTCCAGCCAGGTAGGCATCCAGCCTCTTCTTAAAGACCCCCAGGGTAGGGGCCAGCACCACTTCCCTTGGAAGTTGGTTCCAGCTCCTAGCCGCCCTAACTGTGAAGTAGTT